AATTTTTGAGTTAAAAAGAAAACCTATAGCTTTTTATGAACTTGTGGCTTCATAAAAATTGTCTTTTTTTAGTATCACTCTTTTAACACTTTGTCTTCCACTCCTTTTACTTTTGTCTAAAAAACTACAGGATTTTGACATTAGAATATCTCATATGGTCGTCTACTTTCACAAAGAGGGAAACAAACCTGGTAGATTGATGGCCTGCTTGCATCTTTTATAGGTTTGTTTCCTTGAATCTGTTTGAACCTGTTTTCTCTAAAATTAGGACGCTCTTATTTTCAAGATTTAAAGTGTTTTTTTGATTGTCTTTTCGGTGGACAGACCATGGGACACTATCTTAACAGCAGAATTATAATGTGACCTTACTTATCTCTCCTGATATTATATGAACAGATTTACATCACTTTTCTTAAGTCATCAAAAGATTTCTGGGCCTCCCCGGTGGCGCAGTGGTTGAGCGCTGGGTTGCGAAGCTGCCCGCGGCATCTGCGGCGCCGGTTCTATCCCCGGCTGCTCCCGGGGCACGGGAGGAGGGTCCCACGTGGCGCGCAGACCTCTCCTGCCGCCCGCTGCTCCCCTCAGCAGTGTACTTCGGTCCTTCTGCCTGTTCTGCTCCCTGCTCTGGCTCTGGTGAATTCTCTCACCCTCCCGCGCTTCTGACTGTACTCAGTGCATGTATAAACAAACAAACAAACAAATAATAAATAAATAAAAAGATTTCTGTAAGTTGGTAAGTAGAAAGCAAGATGAAATTTCTAGGTTCGTCTTTCACGAAATACCCCCCTTGCATTTCCTAGGCACAGTTCAGTTTTAGTTGCCCCCCCCCACCCTTGTTTGTCTTAGGCAAAGGTAAACAAGATATCTGTTCTCACCATTCTATCCGGTGGAGTTCCTAAGGCATATGCATCTTTTCTAGATAACTTTTAGCATTAGATCATAAAGACATATATGTCAGTTTTAATATTGCTATTCCTATTTAATAATTACATGCAAGGGACAGTTTCTGTGGCACTTTTCCATGGCTTATCATATAGCACAACATACTTTATTTTTCAAGTCTTTGCATTTGTTAGACTGTGACTTCATTTATTTCTGTTCTAGGCCAAACACAATGTCTGGCACATGTGTAGTCTTTCTTGGAGAACCCACTTGGCCTCTTTAAGCCTCAATTTACCCATCTTTACCATGAGCATAAATATCTGCCTCATGGTGTTAAAGTACCAAATTCAGGTAATAGATATAAAGTACTTGGTGACTGGCAAGTAGTAAACCATCATTAAAATTGTAATCTAAAGATCTATTGGGAATAGAAAGATCTTGAAATCATATCACATGTCCTCACAAGTGCCTGGCTACCCGCTGGTTTTGTATTCCACTCTTTGTGAAATGACACTTTGTGCTTTTTTGTGGATTTTAAGGGTAATTCAACTTAAAATTGAAGTGATTTATATTGTAAGTGATAAAAAAGACAGGTTAAAATATTTCTGTGTTGGTTAAAAGCTTGAGTGTTTTTATGTTCTCTTCTTTCTCTTTGCCTTTTCCTAGGTCTTTGCTAGCACACTGAAGTTTCTATATATTTGTAAAACAGGCTACATGTGTATTTTTCTTCACTTGCCTCATCTCTAGAAGAGGTAGTAGAAACCACCACTCTGTCTTGTTTCCACAGCTTAACTAAAGGTGTGAAAAGTAGTCATTCTCTGCTTCTCTTCCTTTGCGTCCCCCCCCCCCCAACTCATGTGTGTATTAGGAAAGAATATGATAGCAAGTTGAAATCCTCTTTGGAAAGTTTAGAGTCTAATTGTTGGTTTTAAGACAACTTGTTGTTACTATTATTAAAGAAATCTGATCTTCACTCATGAAAGACCCCTTCCTCCCACCCCCCACTTCCTTCCCAGATTGGAATGTTTGGCTCAACTGATCGAAGAAAGGGTGTCTGTTGTACAAAGTTTTTATGCATAAGTTAACCAAATTATGTTCTTATTTGCTGTTACTACCCTTAATAAAGGGTCCATGAAAGCTTATTTGTATCTTGGGTTTAACACAAGTGAACAGTGTGAGGAACTCTAATGCATACAAGCACCATGGAAATGGAGCTTGTCCTTTTCGCAAATTGTTGTTCTACCATGCTATATTAGACAATTTTTGAAGTTTGTGGGTTTTTTCATAATTTGCTCTGGAAAATTATAGGGTATTTAAAGGAGGTGTGATCTACATGCATCTTAATATTGGAATGAGGCTAATTTTTTGTTTTGTGGTAATATAGAATGAAGGTGTCTAACTTGGCTGATTTATTTACTTTCTATACAAGATATATTTCTCTTCACATTTCCATACAAAGATAAAACATACCATTCTTTTTTAAAAAAAAGATTTATTTATGCATACAAGAGCTGGGGTGCAGGCCAGAGATGTGGGGCATGAGAGGATCCACCAGAGACAGAGTGGGGAACAGAACAGGCAGATCTACTGAAATACACTGCTGAGGGGAGCAGCAGGCGAGACAGGAGAAATCTGCTGCACATGTGGATTGCTTTCTGGCCAGGGATCTAACTCAGGCGGCAGTGGCTGCAGATAGCTTCATAGTGCTGTGTTTCAACTACTTGCGCCACCAAGAAGGCCCCTAAAACATACCTTTCTTAAATCAGCAGCCCTTAGTATATATATTTTTTATATTGGATATTATGGTTCATGTGACTTCTGTGTGTTGAATATTTGAAACTTTAAGTTGGAAAAGAAAAATGTACTTATTAACTACTTTTGAAGAGACTGTAATGAAACTGAACATAACTTGCACATTTATATTTCACCATAAATTAGTAGCTTTTTAATATTATCAAAAGTTATCCTTGTTCTTTTAAAACAGCAGCACTTTGTTAACCTTAATCAGAGCCTGACGTGTGTTTCTTCTAAATGACTTCTGATGTGGTGCTTGTCTTTGGTTCTCTGTGGTTTCCTGTTTTCTTTCATACATAGAGAAAAGCCTTTTGATGTACTCAGTCTTACATTTTTTTCTTTTAATGGTATATCAAACCTAAACTTTCTCGTAAATATAGCATTGTATTATAAACTTGTCTCTTCATTTACTCATCTTGCCACATACCTCTCCTCTGGAATTCTTCTAGCACTTGCTGTGTCTCTGTCAAGTAGCACTTGAGTATCCCCCCTGCTGTATTCTTTAACTTTATAAATCTTATTTCTACAATGAAAGTGTGTTTCCTTTAAGGGAAGAGATAGTATCTTGTAGTATCATAATCATTGTCTTTCTCCCCAGTGCCTTGCCATAGCAATTAATAGATAAAATAGATCAGTGATTCTCAAAGTGTATCCCAGACCAACAGCAGCAGCAGCAGCATTTGGAAACTTGTTAGATCTGTAAGTTCCCGGGTCCCTCCCTAGTCAGACTCAACCAGAATGTCTTGTATTTGGAATCAGCAGCTAATATGTTAACAATGATTTGATTTCTTGTGCATTCTCAAACTTGGCAACAACTGCAATAAGTTATTATTGAATGAATATAAAAGTTGTACGTTTGTCTTGATGCTTCTCTGAGAGGTCTTGTATAGAATGGGGCCAAGCCAAATTTGGTCTACTCTGCCTTAGTCTTTTACTTCTCTTACTTGTAAAGAAAATCATAAGAGTTAAATACTTGCAGTTTTAGAGGGCATGTATAGCTTTTATGCTAATCTGTTCTAAAAACCACGGCTTAAAATTTTAAAACTATGAATGATTTCTTCCACTTGTTCACTTAGTATTCCAAAATGAGGAAAATTAATCGAGAGTGAGTGTTATGATGGGGTAGAGGTGGATGAATGTTGAAAATTGGGAGGGGTAAGTTGGAAGACTTTTCTCTGGATGCCATTCTATGCTTTCCTAAATTTTTGAACCATGTAATTGCATTACCTAAAATTTTTTGATGCATTATATTTAATAAAAATACATTAATCAGTGTTGAATAAATTCCTTCCATATGTTAGCCAGTGTGGTTGGTTAAAAAATCACAAAATATCCCATTGCATTAATTTTAAAGGTAAGATTATATATTCTTTTTCACCTCTGGAAAATACTGGGGTATTAGCCAAGTGTCTTGATGATTTTCCACCTGAGCTTTCTCAAAATGGTGGGTACGTATTATTCTTTTGAGCAGTGAACAAAGAATTCCAACTATTAGATGAACCCATCATCTTGTAATAATTTTAACAAAACAGAGAGGGAGAATTTAACTGGGTTCAAAGTTAAATAATCTCAGGCCTCCCCTGGTGGCGCAGACTGTCGAGCGCAGCGCTGTGAAGCTGCCTGCAGCCTAATCCCTGATGGCCGGCGAGGGTCCCACATGGCGTAGCAGACCTCTCCTGTCTCACCTGCTGCTCCCCTCAGCAGTGTATTTCGTCAGTCTGCCTGTTCTGTTCCCCACTCTGTCTCTGGTGAATCCTCTCACCCTCTCGTGCATCTGGCCTGTACCCCACTGCATGTATAAAATAAATAAATCTTTAAAAAAAAAAAAAAAAGCAAAGTTAAATAATCTGGCATGCCAAATGAAAAGGTTAGACACAAAGAACCTTGACCTAATTTACCTTACCCCATTGTAGTTTAGAAATACCTTGAGGATGAAGGATGAAAGCTAGCCTTTTGGTGGTAAGCATAATACAGTACATACAGATGTGATTCATGATGTTGTATGTCTGAAACATATAATGTTATAAAACAATAATAATAATAATTAATAAAAGTGTAAATTAAAAAAAAAGAAATACCTTGATAGGCCTGGACTGTTTAAAAGAAAAATTGACTAAGATTTTGGTCACATTTTTTAGCAAATGGAAAATAATCCAGTTAGTAAGACCTATTACATGTGTTCTGAATTATAAATCATATCCTTAACTATGTCTTTTGATGCAAATGTAATTATTTCACTGCTATGTTTGAATTTTACAGTTTCAAAGGAAGTTATATCTTAAAATGACACTCTATTCAGTTACTCTTTTTTTTTCCTTGCACAGAACTATCGTACCATGGAAAGTATTCAGACAGTGCCTTCACGAGGTCCATCAAATTAGCTCTGGCTTGGAAGCAATGGCTCTAAAGTCAACAATTGATTTAACTTGTAATGATTACATTTCAGTTTTTGAATTTGATATCTTTACCAGACTATTTCAGGTAAGTTTTCTACTTGCTTTGTAGACTTCCTTCCTTCCATCCCTTCCTCACTTATATGTCTGTATAGTATTTGGATATACTTGTGTGCATGTGGGTGTGTGTATGTAGCAGAGACACACAGACACATAAATAAACAAATGCATGTTAAACAGTATCCATCTTGGTAGTCTGTAGTTTTAAAAAAAAAGCCATTGGTGTAAGTTTTTGGTCATTGCTTTAAATTTTAGAGTGAATCATTTGACTGGAATTCATGCAGGTATAATCTGATGAAAACTGGATGTTATTTTGTTCTTTTAGTTATTATTGATGGAATTACTGTAAACATGAAGTTTGAAATTTGTTTTTTGTATTTGGCTCTGCCACTAAAATGTTTATCTTTGGGGGTCAGTTCCAATAGTCATAAAATGAAAGTGTTCCACGTATGAGACTTTATGCCTTATAGTCTTTGATTCTAGTAATATAAATTACATAGAAGATGAGGTAAATTGATCACAAACCAGGCTTGCTTATTATTTTTAGTTAGCAGTAAAATTTACTCTCTTTGAAACAATCTTTCAACAAATGTAAGAGTATCATACTGGTTTTCATGCTTCCAGTGTTATAAGAATTTTGTTTCTCTGATTTATGACTGCTTAACACTGGCCCACAAGGAAAGAGTGACTGATTTTTGTAAGAAAATCATATTGCATGGGATTAATTTTTAATTCGTGAAAGAACCCTTTAATGGGTAGGCAAATTAATTCTTGTCAAAAATACTTACAGAATACATTTTACCTTATTACAATTTTAAAATCATAATAATGCCTAAGAATATAGGGTCAGAAATTAGATAAATGACTGCAGAAAGTATGTCCTTGCTTATTTTCAATTTACAATATTTTCATGATTATTTCTTTGGTATATTTAGATTGCCTGTTTATATTTTTATCAAAGTTTTTAAGATAAATTTTAGAAGAGAATTGTGTAACTGATGCTGATCATTTAATTATGGGACCTCTCCTTTCTTTAAAGATGTCTGACAATTTTACAAATTATCAATTTATCTTGATACAAAGACAACCTAAATAGTAGGAACTTTGCTTCTTCCCATCATAAAGGAAGAGAACAATGATTATTTTCAGACAGTAAACCTACTTGTTCATTCTAGGAACAGTGTGTCTTTGTGGAGAGCAGGGCAATTTTTTAGTATGGATATTAAATGCTACAATATCTCAAGTTATATATTAAAGATGGTTAAATACTTGCCCAATTTGTTTAATATGTGTTCATGTTTTCTTATACGCTGTTTCATTTTTAAAAAACAGTCTAGATTATGTTAACACTCTGAGTTAGATTTATATTATTTATGCTCACTGGGATGAAAAAGGAAAGAATCTTTTTAAGTAGAGATACTATGAAAAGTTTTAGATAACAAAACCAAAATCTTACATTTTGAACCAAAAGAATAGTCTTTTGAAACACAATTATAGAAGTAGCAAAAGAACTTACATTAGCCCCTTTATACTGTTGAGATTCTTCATTTGCTTCCAGTTTTCATGCTTTGAATAATCACATATTTTGTCTTAAAATATGGTAAAGTTGTTTTGTTACACAGAAAAGTGGCTATATTAACTTTCACTCATCTTTATCTTTATACAATTTTAAAAATTGAGTAATGGCTTTGTTATAATTACATACTCTGTATGAGAAATGTAACTTTGTAAGCACTGTAAATGCATGAACATGTATTCAGATGCAGTCATGATATTGGTGGTTAATTGGTAATAAATCCTTCTGGCTCTAATTGTTGGTCACATAGCAAACTGAGGTCTGAAAGTTGGTGAGGTCCACTGCAGGATTGGGTTCTTACATAAAGAAGTAGCATAAAACTATCAGGAAGGCATAAAGGGGCTCAAAGATGAAGTCAAGAATTGCCTAGGAAACAAAAGGAGTAAAGCTGGGAGCTATACTATTTTCCCCTTTTACTTTTCTCTGGTCCTGTTAATTCCTGCTGAACTGGCACAAATATGGGGGAGGCATTGAAAGGATCTTGCTACCTTCCTCATTTTCTTTTCTTTCTTGTGCCTTTAAGCTTTTCTTTCTCCTCTCCAAGTTGTTCAGAGGTGCTACAATAGGAGGGTGCTAAAGTCTTGAAAATACAGAGACTTTGTTTCTCCCTTCCCTCTCCATCGGTCTGCTGTTCCCCTTCTTGTCATGTTTTCTCCACTACTGCAGAAGATTGTGTTGTTGAGAAATGGGACAGTCAGTTTGAGGGGTGGCAGGATACGGAATGAGTTGTTTTGTGGAATATACTAGTGACTGTATCATATCAGTGGAATAGGGAGAAAAAAAAAGAGAACAGTCATCCTTTAAAGAGTATCTAGGCAGACCAGCCGGGGCCTCTCTTGCAGCATAAATTTGTAAGTCAATAAATGACTTTTCTTGAAAGAGATAGAATTTTGGGAGAAGGGAGGGATTTGTCTCCATAATTCACTTCATTAATTTCTGTAATCATTTAAGAATTCCCAAATTATCTTATGTTGGCATATGTGAACAGATTTCCTTAAATCCAAAAACAAGTTGCAAAAATAATTTGTCTCCATCGTGCATTGTTTTGTACCTTTAATCCATTAGTTGGCAAATGCTTATAAACAATGACACATAACTACCACATGTTTCTGACTATTGGTTGCATTCATAAGAAAAATAGTACTCAGCCTGCCTCTTTATAGTACATAAATATTTTTGCAGTTAGGAGCTGTCCTTCTGGATAGTGTACTAAGAAATAGTTGCTACATACTGCAGCAGTTGGCTCAAAACTCCAATTTCCTTTTTCCCCCACTGTATTTTGATCTGTGCATTGGCTTTCAGTAAAGTTCAGCATTTTGTTAAACAACTTTTCCATTAATTTATGTGGAATTCAATGAAAGTGACCCAAATACTTTATATTCTTTCCATCTTTGTCCTTTGTGAATGGGGAAGCAGAAGATGCAAAATAAAACCTAGTTACTGTTATAACACTTTTTTTTCTCAATTTGTTGAAACATACTGATATTCTTCCAAGTGTTGTTTATGCAATTTTTAGTCAGGACTTAAGGAGAAAATTAAAAACATGTTTTTTTTCAAGTACAAAATCCTCTCATAATAGTGTTTTCTAGAGTGCCTTTCTGCCTAATTAGATATTTTAGTGTTATGAGGAAATCCCCTAAATATTTTTCTTGTTATGGCTAAAAAGGTTAAAAACTCTTTATTACTAAATCGTTCTTTCCTTTATTATCCGCATCTCAAGGAATGTAATCCTTAAAGAATTCCATCTTGTAAATTTGAAACTCTTAATAACAAAGAAAAAGTCTCAAAACAAAAGCAGAAAGCCCTCTCCCACTCAAGAATATATGATGACTATTGCATCAGTTTGCACTGAGCAGCACAAAATTCCTTTAGAAGATTTGAGTTCATAATCTGGCACATCAGATAGAGTGCCAGTTCCTTGGAATAAATGTAATTTCAGCTTAAAAAACATGGTAGGATGGGCCTCCCCTGGTGGCGCAGTGGTTGAGCGCTGGGCTGCGAGGCTGCCCACAGCCTCTGTAGCGCTGGTTCTTTCCCCGGCCGCCAGCGAGGGTCCCACCAAAAAAAAAAAAAAAAAAAAAGGTAGGATGATTCTTTCACACACTCCAGCGAAGTTGTCTATCATTAACTGCCTTTTTACTCTTGCCATGGTGACTGGGGCGATCATTAATTATATTAAAGGAGAGTGACACAGACTTGTATGTGTGCGCACGTGTTTCTGTGAAATATATTTTTACATGGCTCACTTTGAAACCTTCAAACTTCTCTAATTTTACAGTCATGTGAGGATAAACCAATTGTAAATACAGTTATGTTACCTTGGAAAGACAAGGAGTCAAGGAGCTGTACAGTAGCAGTTAGCCCACCTGTTATTAAGTTTCTGAGTTTGTTATTAAGTGTAGGGCTCTATTTTAGGGAACTAGCACTATGCCATGCACAGGTTTTCCCTTGGTGCAAGGCGGACAAGCACCTTGTGTAGCATATGGTTAATGTATAATCTTTGCCAAATCAGTTAGGTTCTATGACATGGTTTCTTACTCTATAAAGTGAGATATATAGCATTATAGTAGTGAACAAAACAGACATCGGAGATAAGGAATGTGAGGAGAGTTTTTAAATGAGATTGTAAATTTTAAATAGGTGGTCTGAGACAGCCTCACTGAGAAAGTGACCTTTGATGAGAGGAATTATGGCTATTTGGAGAATTCAGTTTGAGGAATCAGCAGATATAAAGACTCCTAGGTGAGAGAGAGCCCTTATGTTGAAAGCAATAGCTAAGAGGCCAGCATGCCTGAAGAAGAGATAGAAAATGGGAGAGTCACAGCACTGGGGATCATCCCAGTAGGGACCATGTATGCCACTCACTTATAAGGACTTTGGCTTTTACTCAAAGTTAAAGGATTTTGAACAGAGAGTGATGCGGTTTATGTTTCAAAATGATCACAAGTATTGTGTTGGGAATAGAATTTGTAAAGAAGAGATTATGTGGTTTTCCTTTTTTGCTCTCTATTCTTTTTCCTAAGAAATCTGTTTACTTTCTAATCACGTTCTCCAAAAGAGAACAAGCTAATTTTATGTTAGATATATTACTGTTAGATAATAAAGGATGACCTTAACTGCATAAATTACTGACTTTAAAAATATCCAGAATTTCAGTAATTACATTGAATAATAAATTGGTATGTAGTTGATAGTGGATATTCAAGATAATATCTTTTAATTCATATTTTTAGCCTTGGGGCTCTATTTTACGGAATTGGAATTTCTTAGCTGTAACACATCCAGGTTACATGGCCTTTCTCACATATGATGAAGTTAAAGCACGACTGCAGAAATACAGCACCAAACCTGGAAGGTAAGATGTTTCAGTGGTAATTTTATGTGCTATATCTAAAGATGAAAAGTCTTCTAAGGCCTGAACTGAACCAGTAATACCCATGGGAGTAGGGATAGGCAAACAGAAATAAACCAGAATGATGCTTCATAATTGAATCCTTTAAATTGATACATTGAGCTTATTCTGGCACAGTGTTCAGAAAGTGAAAGAGGGTAGGGTACTATGTAATTTGGTGAATTTAGAAATTCATTAATTCCTAGAGTTCTGATCTTCAAATTGGAGTAGGCTATTAGCACATTGACTGTTTCATGACACCTATGTTTGTGTATAAAATCATGTGTATTTGAATATTGTGTTAAAGTCAAAATAATTAGAGTATTTTTTAAGACATTCAATTTGGTTTTATGATGAACACATATAACTGTATAACATATAGAAGCCCACTGTTACATTTCAAATCAGTTTGATACCCTTGAGAACTTTTTCCATAATATCTTAAATCTTTTCCAGTCTTAGAATTTATATTTTTTAGGTAATGAAATTGAGATTCACAGAAGTTGGCTATTTGGTCAGCCCCTCTAGCATTAGTCAAGAAATCACACCTTATTAAAATGATACTCTGGGAATAGAAACTCTCTGTGTCTAGGGCAGTGAAGTTTCCTCACTTCCCATCTAGGAATGTACTGTGCAAGCAGTAGCCATTTGTGGTACACTAGGTACAGCAGCAATGGCCGTGGAGACCTGACGCACATGCACAGGCAATTCAGTAGGAAATGTCATTCCATTGTCCACTAGTGTACTGATTTACATAGAGGTATCATTTTATTTGGGAATGAATTTGGTATTTTTTTAGGTCTATTTGTATCAAAAAAATTATTTGCAGGACAAAATGGTATTTGTCCTTTAACAAAGTTATTTTTTTTCAAGGACAAGCCAAACAATTTTCTTGGCCATAATGAAAATGTCCATCTTTTTAATTTTTAACTATTTATTTGATATAAAAGGAGATCATGTGTACAGAAAATAATTTGGCTTCTGTTGACGTTTCTTTAGATTATGGATGGTTGATTCTCATTCTAACCATGAGATCTGGTCATATATAATGCATGTTGACATTTGTTTTATTCAAATAAGTCATTTGTTTTATTCCAAGATCTTACGATTTTTCCATAGTTTTTATTCTTAGATTGGCTTTATATAAAGCGTCTTCTTTCTCTTGGAGTATGATTTGGAGGATGTCATATGGTTGGAATCAAGTAATCAAATCTAACATAGAAGTTATTTTATCCAAGTCTATAAATAAGGAATCTGTGTTCCTTGTTTGCTTTGTTTTATTATTTGCTATTTAAATTACAAAATAATATATTGAATTCTGTAATAGAAATTGGTTCCATTTCTGACTGAGGTAACCAAATTAAAATTTTACTTTCTAAAAATGATTTACTTACAAAATATTTTTGGAGAGCCCTAGCTTTTTCATACAGAGCACCCCCTGATGGTGATGGCAATAAATTACTTGGTAGATTACAACTTCAATTATTTTCTCAAACTTGAGATATTTAAATGACATGATTAGTGCTTCCTTTACAGGTCAATAAATGGATAAGTGCAATGGTGTCAAAATAGAGGCTAGAATTTTCTATCAGTAATTCTAAATGATTGTTCTTTTGCTTAAAAAAAATCTAACAAATTTGTTTTATATTTTGAATGTGAGTAAGCATATTTTTCTAATACTTCACAGCTACATTTTCCGGTTAAGCTGCACTAGACTGGGGCAGTGGGCCATTGGCTATGTGACAGGGGATGGAAATATCTTGCAGACCATTCCACATAATAAGCCTTTATTTCAAGCCCTGATTGATGGTAGCAGGGAAGGATTGTAAGTATGAGAAATGCGAATCCGGGTGGTAGTCATTCATAAATTTGAGAAATAGAAATATGTATTGGAGAGAATGCTTTGTGGCTGATGATCTGCCTTTTTTTTTTTTTCCTCTCGAGACTGAGACATGGAAACTCCTGAGTTTTTATTGTGCATCTCTTTAAATGGTCATTTTGAGCTAACCTATTGAGTGTCAACTATATATTATAGCAAATAAATCCCAACATCAAATTATAATGTGTTAATGTGATTATAGGAAAAGAAATTGGGAAAAGTTGTTTAAAAATAGATGTAGAAGTGTATATTTATGAAGAGGTTATTATTTATGATAATTGACTTCTGTTTCCTCCTATAACCCTCAAATTGCTAGCTTTACATCTATTTTGACTTTCATGCTAGATGTCCTTTTTCTATCCTTTTCTTACTCCTTCCCTTCTTTTTCTCTTCATATCCTTTTATTTACACTAATAGTAAGTCTGTATTCTAGAATTACATGTTAATAGCTAAGCTTTAACCTTAAGCTGTAAAGTTAAAAATAATATCCTTTATTTTATAAGAAGTAATTACCTTCTCTCATACATTAAGTTTAGAGTAGTCCAGTCTATGGTCTCTTTATAGATTCTTGTTGATTTTAGTCTTCTATTCAGTGTATTTTCAGTGTAACTTCATTTTGCTGACTTTTCTGAATTTTGCTTGCTGAGTTACTAAGAGACATTTGTGCTTCAGCTTACTATATAGCATGTATTGTGGTAAAAGCACAGCAAGAGAAAGTTTCAGAACTGGCAAATACCAAACGATTTCACTTTTACCTCTCTTAAAGTAATTGAAGAAAAGAAAAAATTTATGGACTCTGGAGAAAAATAATGTAATTTTGAAAGTTAAAAGCTTTCAAGAAATAGTTACAGAAGAATAACAGAACTATGATACCAAATGTGTATTTCTTTTTTATTCTGTTCTTAATAAATTCACTTTTTCAGTTATTCATACCTTCCTTCTAGTGCATCAAAGATCCACATATGTAACTAGATTCACCAATTACAGCATTTTTCTTTTTAAGAAGTATGCTTTTAATGTTTTAATTTATAAATGGAGGTTATGAGTGGCAATTCTGTAAATGCTGTAATTTTGATATAGCTTATTTTTGTCGTTATAATTCTTCAATTGTTCAAAAGTAAAAAAATAACAATAATATCATCATCAGTAGTCTGAAATCTCTGAACTTTTACTCACCTTAGCTGTTGGCTAGTTGAATTTGAATTCATGATAGATTACATTAAAGAAGAACAAACTGAAATTTTAACCTGACTTTAAAGTTAGATTAAAATGAGTATTATGTTAATTAGGCTTTTTTCCTAAGAGAAATAAAAATACAGGATATTATGTAGCCTAGCCCAAGACCAGCTGTCCTTATATTTGACTTTAATATTATATGGTATAGGTGATAAAGAAGATTACTTTGATAACCAGTTAGGTTTTGATATCCCTTTGGTGCCTTTCAACAGGGCTAATCAATCAGTAGCACCCTGCTTTACTGAGGATTATAATCATTGAATGGCCCTTATACATTAACACAACCTTTTTAAGCTCTCCTCTGCAATCTTACTGTCATTTTGGTCATTTTCTACTTGTGGATGCTTCCTAGAATTTCTCTCTGTTTTGGCAGTGTGCTGGCCAAAGTTTTATATAGTTTTTTAAAAACAGGCCATGTTGAGGTATAAGAAGAAAGTTGTCAGTTTTTGCTTCATGTGCCTCACTTAATCTTTGTTGAACTTTATCTCACTCCGTGATGCTCAAATTTGAATTGGGTTCAGATGTAGTCAGCACCATCTCCTACATATTAAAAAAAAAAAAAATCACAATGACCTGTCCCTCTAAGTTCATTTTTTTGTTGTTGTTTGACAAATTTTAACTTTTAACAACATGTTTGTAGACAGATTGTTAAAGATGTGAATATATATTTTTTTTCTTCACAGAATAGTATCAGTGTAGTTTTGCCCTCTAAAATATTCACCATTATAGTATTCTTAATTTTCATTTAAGCTATCTAGAACAGAAACATAAATAGAATGATTTCTAATTATTTAATGGGATTCAGTAGCTGGTGATATTACTCTTTATATATTTAACCCAAAAAAGTATTTACCAACATTTTACACATCATGATTTTAATAAATTTCTGAATAGGTAAGAGTTAATTTAGCACAGCAAGATGGCAGTAACTATAATTTTTATTGTTATTTTAAATCTAGTGCTAGAACCTGATAATTAGTGATCATTCTGTGTTGTAACTTTACTTGAAGTAAATGAAACATAATTGTGACATTTTCTATTTATTTGAACTGTGTGTGTGTGTGCATGTGAGTTAGAGTGTGTGGAAAGAGGATGGGAAACTGGAGAAATGGGAGCACCACAGAAGTGTTTGAATAACTTTTGTGGGAAAATTGTGGGATTTAATTCCATTTTTTTCCTATTTATGGCACATAGTATAAAATGATAGTTAACTGTTCTTCAGATGAAGAGGTAATAATTGCAAATAGGTATATATTCTATATTGTTGGAATATGAAGGACCAGTAAAGTAAATTTTTGAAATTTACATTTAAAACAAGGTAGAAGTATTAAAAATAATTGCTTAGTATATGAGTCCATATACATTATATAGTATGTGAAAATGATTTCTAGATATTAAATATCGTAAAAAATAACTTGTGCGGTAGAGTAGTTCTTGATGTTACATCAAAATATGTATGTGAGTATAGAAGAATTTGATAACCTTAATGTCAATTAAAACTCTATCTTTCTGGTAATAAGTTTTCTGTTTATCATCCAGCTATCTTTATCCGGATGGGAGGAGTTATAATCCTGATCTGACAGGATTATGTGAACCTACACCCCATGATCACATAAAAGTTACACAGGTAAGAACAAATTTCTGGAAACATAATAAGTATCCAGAATGCTTTGGAAATTGGTAAGATTCTCTATTTGAACTGTAGCTAAAAGCATACATGCTTATTTAATGCAAAAGATAATAAATTCTAAGAATGGAAAGAAATTACTTCATATTTTAGATAAAAATTTCTACTGTTAATATTCTTGCTTTTGACATAATATTGGTATTTTGTATGTGGAGAAAGATAAATCCATAGGTAAGCACATAGATATGAGGAAGAGAATCACAGGCTTAGGAATGTCCAAAGAAGATTAGAATAATTTTATGCATAGCTTTTAGAGTCAAATGAATAATTGAAGCTTATTGAAGATAATAATTGTATTCCTAAATCCGTTCTTGGTAACCTCCATAGATTATGAGTTGGAGGATAACTTGGTAAAACCTTTTATTTGAGGGTAATAGTAATTATCAAAATCAGTAATTATCAAAATAAGAACAACTTTAAATTTATAAATTCCTCATAAATAGGCAAAGATCTGTGATCTTTTGTAAATTATAAAATTTGATAATTTAAATTATAAAATTTAAATTAAAATATTAAAATATTTAATCATATGTTAAATAAACCTTAGTGGACTCATACTGTAAAGTGATTAACAGGAGGGAGAAGCATCTCGTCACACATCCATGGGAACTTCTGCATCTTATTATGTCATAAAGCTCCATTTATGTAAACCTCGATTATGTGACATTTCATTTTGTGTTGTTACATTATGTAAGTTCAGAGAAACTGATCTTGTATGAACATAATCAATATACGTTTAAAAATAAAAGAACACTAACCCAGTATTTAACTGAGGAAGTGAAAAGGTTTGAGAATATCAGGGAGAGGATGAAAGTGAGAGCTTGAATATTATATTTTACCTATTATCTTGTTTGAAATAGCACTGCATAATGCGTGCTTTTGTATGCTGTATAATAAATATAACTAAAAGAAGTTGGTTTGGGGGAAGGACAACCGATTATACTTCATACTCATTCTCTGTACTTCAGTTCCAGTGGATATTGATATTGCATGAAGCTCACTTACTGGCTTATATAGTTTAATGTGAGGCTGACATTTTCTAAATTATGTAGTGGTTTTATATTTTTTAATATATGTAAAAGTGTACTCATGAGTCAATTGTTTACAAAGACATTGTTTAAAACTAAATCTTCAGGAGTTATATCATTCTCTTAAATTTTTCATAAATATTTGAACATCTTAACCCTTAGGTTGCATTGAGTTATGCACCTGTAATGCTAGCTTGTAATCTTTATGTAATAACAAGTTGATCCTTTGATTGCCATCTCAGTATAAAGATGTATCTATTATTTTAAGACCATTAGTGATTTTATGACATATTAGGGATTACTTTAGGTTTATTTTTTGGCCATTGTGGCCCACTCCCTCTTTCCCTTTCCTAAATGTCACTAAAAAACTATATAGTAATAATATGTGCATCATGATAACAATCTACATATGTGTGCTTATGTATTCATATGTATCTATATATTATATGATTTCTCTTACCAATATTACATGATCTTTTAGCATGTTTGGGGCTAAATATTACTTATCCTACCCAGGGCCAGGTACATTGTAGGCATTTACTAGACAGCAGCGTTGCCATATTTAAATAAATCTTTGTTCTTTATGATTCCTTTTCATCGTATCCCCATTAAATAGCACATTTTTGTATTTTCTCTTACTGACCAGTATGTACCTCTTTTTGACATAGATCTTTCTAGTGTTTGAACACTTAGTTCTGTTATGCCAAAATGTTTTAATCAAGTCAAGAAAAGAAATATTTAATAAAATTTTTAGTTGCTGAAGTGATTAGTTTTTTTTTTTTTAAAGATTTATTTATTTATTTATTTATTTATTTATACAAGCACTGGGTACAGTCAGAAGCGCGGGAGGGTGAGAGAATTCACCAGAGCCAGAGCGGAGAGCAGAACAGACAGACTGACTACACTGCTGAGGGGAGCAGTGGGTGGCAGGAGAGGTCTGCACACCATGTGGGACCATTGCCTGGCAGCCGGGGATCGAACCGGCGCTGCAGAGGCTGCGGGCAGCTTCATAACCCAGCGCTCAACCTCTGCGCCACTGGGGAGGCCTGTGATTAGTTTTCTTGACATCATTAGATTAGGATAAGAGTATGCAATTTAGAGTTGGAGATTTAATACAGAATTTGAGGAAAACAATTTTATTGAGCCTCAGGTATTTTTAAAAATTCAATATATCTTATGCTTTGGAGATTATTTGAAATAGTAAATGTGGACCATAGTACCCAATGGCAGAAAGGGAAAATGCTGCTTTTCTTCTACTTTGAAATATCTGATAATAATCTGAGAAATAAAGTTTAGTGGTCAGCCAGAATCATATAAATATTTTGCAATTTGACAGTAATTGTGTATATATGTGGCATTTACAAAGAAAGTACAGTTATATATGTCGTTCTTTTAAGTTGTATGTTTTGTCTTTTGATTCCCTGTGAGTATTACAGCAATGCCTTGCTAAGGGATCAGTATGAAACATTGAATTATTGGCAGCCTGATAAAATTTCAAATCTTCTTAAAAATGATTGTGTAGACTAAATTGTGATGATCAATGTATAACTTGTCTTAAATGGTAGTATTATCCTGACAGGATCAAGTATGAAGTGTTTACTGTAAGCCATTGTAGTTAACAAAATTCTGCATTAAGAATTTATACTAAAAATACATTAACATTGCCTTTTTCTTACCTCCCACATCCCAGGAACAGTACGAACTCTATTGTGAAATGGGCTCCACGTTTCAGCTCTGTAAAATTTGTGCCGAGAACGACAAAGATGTCAAGATTGAGCCTTGTGGGCATTTGATGTGCACCTCTTGCCTTACAGCTTGGCAGGTATGATCACAGTTGAATTACCAGCATGGGTGTCTTCCTTGTATTCCCCTTAATATTATATACTTTCAGTTTTCCTCATCTTAATGACTCAAAGTAATATACTAAGTCTACCTAATTTGAAATGGTTGTCAAACAAATCTTACATGTTTAAATTTCTTTTATATAATTAGATTCTTTGCTGTGTTTTGTATTTTGGTTCCTTTACATGTCCAACAATTTTATGATATTAGTCATAAGTAGCTCTCCTTCTGTAACACCATTGATTTCAGGATGTCACTTATCAATATTGCCAACTACCCATATTTACACAATTTCTTTTAGAGCTGATTCTCTTTAGAGTTGGTAAGATTCTGAAACAAAGTAAACCCTAGCACATAAGTCTTACGTGATGTTTCCAACCAATTCTCTTTTCTCGGGAGGAGGTGTGGGTCTTTGGTTGCTCTGTAAAGCTAACTAGGAGAATCCGACAGGAAAACTCTCCTGAACACTTATAGTTACCACAGAAACAGGCATTACATTTTACAATTTATAGTAGCAGAATCTAAGACAAACTGCCTTTCCCTCTGTAGCAGGCATTCAATAAATAAAAATTGATTTGCTGTTTTAGCATAAGATCTAGAAAATAACTAGTTTCCCCAAGGCTTTCTTGTATTTTTTTTTTAAACTGTAATAAATGTTGGGGAAATTAAAATGAATCTTTCCAGATTTCCAGTTTCAAGTATTTGGAAGATTCATGAACTATTCTCATCAATCCATTTTTTACTACTTTTCATCACAGTCGGTACTGAAGTCAATGTTGGTAGAGTTTAGAAAGCAGATAATTAAATTTTTAAGATAATTAAATTTGCAGTTGAATATGTGATTGCCATTCTCACCCTGTCCATGAGCTCTCCCACTCCGTGATCTTCTCCTGCAATTTCTGCACTGCCTGAGGAAGGATGGCGTGAGAGGCTCAGGAAGGGAAATGCAGACTCAGAGTCATTGAAACCTATTGAATAAATTACTTGGTAATAAAATATAATGCTTTCAAAAATATATGTAATGAATTTCACATTTTTACAATCTTATAGAAAGAACCTTTTCTTTAGGGAGATTTAAAAAGTGGGTGAAGAAAAAGTGGAAGAACTCGGAAATGAATTATTACTGGCTTATGTTTCTAAAGCCATTTCTGAACTCCCAGATATTTTTTGCTACCTCTGGGAAGTTTGCTCACCATCCCTACGCTTCTCTCCTTCAGTATACATTTGGTTTATACTTTACTTTTGGTTTCCCTTTATGTCCTTGCTCTAATTTCCCTTCATTGCCTCATGATGTTGGTGAATTTTGTGTAGTACAAGGAGACTAGAGGAAAAAGGATGATGAAAATGGTGTTAGCAAAGTTGTTCTCTGTCCATTGACCCTTGATTGTTTTCTTAGTTGTCTTAAAAAACATTACTGACTGTGTGCCAGGCTGACTGGGACAGGACAACTTTAGGATGATTTGCTTTACCTGATACCCATTCAGTATTTTAAAGCTGAGTTTGTACATGTCACCCCTTTGGACTAGGTCTTCATTGTGATAATATTGTCACCAGCACAAACCAGTTAAAAGCTTTACATTTCTCCCTGAAGAAAACCAGAATTCCAGGGTGGTACAAGCTCATGGTACTCTCTGCATTCCGGTATGGGCTGTGTATCTGTCTTTTCTCTTGAGACCATGGACGCGAAGCCTACAGATACAGATATTGCAGGACTTGGCATCTTTAACTTGGTGTTCTGCATAGTATTTAGAAGCTAAATGGGCTAAGAGTCAGAAGTTCCCATTTTGGGATAGAAACCTTTAAATCTAAAGATGATTTAAAATGCCATGCAAAATACCTCATTGCTCAGGGTGAGTAAAAGAACATGGCTGAATAGCAAACAAAAAAATTTTTACTATCTGTGTTCTTGAAAGATATTTACCTTCTTAAAGGAATGTGGCCCAATAATATCTCCACAGCTTTTGTATGTATTACTATGTGTGCATTTTGTGGATGATGCTGTTCCTCTTGCTAGTTGCTAATCAGTTCCTTGATTCACTTCATGATTTGCCACATAGGTTTAATGGCCTTACATGGACATATGTCCAGTCATAAATATAGATCTTAACATTTGCTATTTCCCTTTTTTATCTTTTCTCTGAAGTACTTCTGTTTTACATTTAGAAAGTAGGGAAGTTAAGTTACCATAAATTGCACTGACAAGCCTTTGAGTAAAATTTTTATGACGCTATGGAGAAAATATTAATAAAGTAGTTTACTAAGTAATAGCAAATGAAAAGTGTAAAACTACTCAGAAATTTGAAATAATCAAATAAAATCACATTCGTATCACTTGTGAATGTTATTATACTAATCTAATCATAGAATTTTGCATAAAGCTTAATGAAAATTATGCAAAGTCATTATTAGAACATCTTTTGAATTCTCCCCACACAAGAGATTCATAATTAACATTCTTCTGATATATTTTGTATATGTTCTTATAACACCTGACCTCATTGTATTCATATTGTTAACATTTACTTATTTACCTGTTTCTGCTTTAGAATGTAGATTGCTTTATTTATAGATCCTCTACCCTAGCATGCTATCTATACATTGATAGTTACTTAATAATTATGAATTTTATGCAAAATAATATAAAGAAAAAAGAACTGAGATTACCTTAAATCAAGACTCTGAAATTATACATAAATTGTGAAAGCCCTTATAAAGGCCTTAGTTGTGTCCGTTTCTCTTCAAGTATCTGTGATCTTATTTATTTATTTATATATTTTTTACATTTTACATTTTTACATTTTTACATTTTACATTTTTACATTTATTTATATATTTTATACATTTTTTACATCATTTTTATTTTTGCACAATGTATGCATTTTCATCTTGGTAATAGTCCCCATACAATTCCCACCCCTCTTATTTTGATCCTACTCCCACCTCCTTCCCTCCATAATGTGTCTCTGGTTTATAGTTGCTTGTACATATACACAATGGAATATTACTCAGCAGTCAAAAAGATAAACTCATGCAATTTGCGGCAACATGGATGGGGCTGGAGGGGATCATGCTCAGCGAAATAAGCCAGAAAGAAAAAGAAAAATACTGGGTGGTCTCACTCATAGCAGGAATTTAGAAAACCTAAATGAGGGACCAGGAAAAAACCTAATTCTAATAAAGTAAAAATCAAAATCTGTGATCTTTTTAAAGATCTTTTATCATGTTCAAAATCTGAAAATGAATCTTAAAAATTTGAACCCTCAGGTACTTTTTCTATTCAGTAGCTGCTGGATGATTCCCTTAACCTTTTCACATTTTGATTTTTCCCACATGTTTTTGAGCCACATCATCTCACTTTATTGCTTGCAATATTACTGGCACTAATTTAGAGGCAGTAAGACCAAGTCTCTACATATTGGCTTTTTTACATCAAGAACCATATAGGAGGATGATTGTTTCAAATTTTCTCTATACTGGAGAAAACTGTTTTTAGACTACAGTTTGGGATTTCCAAAGTGATATCCCATAACATCTATATCTCAATAGGATCTTTGTGGTTAAACTTCAAATTTTGAACATTACTTTTGGAAAACCCAAATATTTACAATTACATACAGATTTCATACCTTGGTACTTCCTGCCAACTAACAGATCTATTTTATCAGCTTTGACATTATTGTGTGAACAGCAGTGTTTAACAGTCATTTAGCCGTGTTACTGCAAACACCTCTGTGATGTAATAAAAGTCTTTAAAGGAGATCCATTTAAAACCCAGTTGACAAATATTAAAAATGCTAAAAGCCTTACATTATAGCTTCAGTGAGCTTACCCTGATAATGCGTATGAGAACAAAAGGAATCATTGAAAATTTTCCTAAATGCGATATATTTTTAAATATTATGTCTAAATATATAAATGCAATGAAGAATGCTGTAAGAATATTAACTCTGCTGTTTGAGTCCATGTAGTGATACTTCTCTTTTCAGCTTTTTATTCAGAATGGCACAGGGCTAAAGTCCCATTTTTTATGATTTTGAATTCATTGTTTTTGTTTTATATGCTTGTTTTTAAGTTAACTTTGCAGACTTACTTTTGCACAGGGAAATTTATTTTGCTTCCCCTAACTGCCATGGTAGAGGCAGACATGTAATTTATCATTCTTCTTTTCCAAGATCTCAAATCTATTCATTTATTTATTGGGAAACAGTCCTTGAGCAGCTTCTGTTTCCAAAATTCTGGACTAATGTGAGCTTAAAATGCTCAGAAACAATCCCTACAAATCTCAAGAGGTCAAAATTATATCTGAAAGTTTTATGGAAGGACATGGTATTACCAATCACTTGAAATGAACATCCTGTTATCCTTTAGATTTAATTATGGGTGCAGACATTTTTTGTTAGTTTCAAGTGCTTTGGTTGGGCATGCTGATGAAAAGGATTTTAAAGGCTGCATGTCTGCCAAGAAGCTCTGATTAATCAGTTAGAGTCCAATAGGAAATATTAAACTCTGATCGTAAAATATAATGTGTTCAGCCAATGTGCATTTTTAGCCAGTCTTTATTCACTGACTTTTCCTTCCATTTGATGGTCTTCTTTGGTTTAAATGAAATTCCTCAGGGACTTGAATTTTATCTAATTAACAGAAACCCTAAGAAATGCATGGGAGTGATGTCAGGTAGTTGTTACTGCCTGCAAGTGGTTACTCTTTAATTGCTGTCATAATGGCCCATTAGTCATGCCTCCAGGAAGTGTCAAATATTTTTTCTCCTTCTGAAACATCTGTGTTATTTAATAAATTGAATAAGCAAGGCAGAGTTTACAAGGAATACTAAATAAGTTGAATAGTATCTCTCTAGAGACATTCTTTGAAGCAGTATCACTCTGGGTGTGGTATTTGTTCTACCCTTGGCAATTAAACTTGGGAGAGTTTTCTCTCTCTTCCATGCTATTCTGATAATACTAACAAACATTTTCTTCACCC